CAATATCCATGTTCTGATCCCTGGGACTGTGCCTGTTACTTTCTATGGTAAACAAAACATGTGGTTAAGCTGAACAACTTTGAGATGGGGAGATTTCCTGGATAATTGAGGGCGGCCCAATGTAATCATGAGGGTGTTATAAAATGAGGCAGGAGAGTCCTGATGATAGATGCAAGAGGCTGGAGTGATGCAAGGAAGGGGCTATGAGCCAAGGAATGTGGGTGGCTTCTAGAAGCTGGGTAAGGTTAGGAAACATTCCCCCCTAGAGCCTCCAGAAGGAACCGAGCCCTGTGAACCCACTTTAGACCTCTGACCTCCAGAACTGTACAAGAGGATAACTTTGTGCTATTTTAAGCCTCTAAGTTTGTGGTAATTGTTATAGCAGCACCAGGAAACTAATACAATGGGGTAGGTCCCAACTGAGAGTTCTGTTTTGACCCTATTCACCTTGAGACATCCAGGTGGAGAGGCTGAGCAGGGGTCTGAATCTCAGGAGGGAGGTCAGGACTGGAGTCAGGAACTTAGGAGCCATTGACACAAAGGAATTTGAACACCTGTGCCTGACAGAGGGGCTCTAGCCGAGGCCTGGAGTGTGTTCCAACCGTTTCCCTGGCAATGCTGATAGTAATAGTATCTGTGGGCAAGTCTAGAGTTGGCAGGATTGGTTGCTCAGTGAAAGTCAACAGCCTGGACACGGAGGCAGCCCTGCTGAGGAGGGACCATTCTCTTGGAAGCCACTCCTGGCGCCTCAGGCGACTGGTTGGGAAGCCCTGAGTGGAGAAAGGCAAGAACCACTCTGGGGTTTGAGGGTGAGTGGTGGGAGGGACTCAGGAGAGGGCTAGATAGGATGGGCCAGGCATCAATAGACACCAAACACAGGGAGGGGTTAGGCCTGAGAAGAGGTGGGGGTGGGGGTTGGGGAGGGGGGTGGAGTTGGATCCTTGTGAACAGAGTTGAGGTTAGACTTCAGAAAGAAAAAATGCTGATTCTCACTGAAGAATGGACTTTGGGATGCCATGTCAGACCCTCCTACCACCACCTTCCCACTGCCCTTTACTCCCCTACCCCCTGGAACCCCAGGGGGTGGGGTCATTCTGGACCTTGCTACTTCCTGCTCCTGGCAACCACTGCTCAGAGACTATGGAGCTGTGGAGACAGCTGAGGCAGGCTGGACTAGTGTCCCCAGAGCTGGGTCCACCCCCCAGGGCCCTGAGGGGTGTACCGCCATCATGGAGAGCTGGCCAGACCCTCATGTCCCAAGGGACAGACACTGAAGGTACCAGGGAGTGTCTGCTGTGGATCTGGGAGGAGCTGGTGAGTGAGGAGTTTGGAGGGGCAAGAGATAGAGTAGGGGTCGGGGGAGAATGAAGGAGTGGCAATGTATGAAAATAGAAAGGGCCAGAGGTTGAAAGACAGAAATTGAGAGACAGGAATAGAGAAATAAACACACACACACACACACACACACACACACACACACACACACACACACACAAACACACATAGACCCAAAGAGTGAGAGATGGGAATAGAGGCAGAGACACAGAGAGGGGCCCAGAAAGAAAGAGGTAGAGATGGAAAGTAGAGATTGAGGATAGCAATAGGGACAGAAAGACTCAGATTAAATCCGAGAGACAACGGCAGAGAAATAGAGACAGAGAAAAATGGATATGGAAAGACATAGAGACAAAGACACAGAGAGATAGATAACAAGAGAGGGAAATGAGAGAGAAAGAGATTAAGAGTCAAACACATACAGAGGGAGGTAGAGACAGGGAGGGACAATGAAATACAGAAACAGTTCAACAGACACTGTGAGAAGCAGGGTGACAGGTCCAGGGACATAGTGAGGACCTGCCCAAGAACACGTTACAAGTGGTAAGGTGATGGGTTTAGGGACCATTGCAGTGCAGGAGAGAGATAGAGCTCAACTCCAAATACAGCATGGGCAGGAACCGGTTTGGCTCAGTGGATAGAGCGTTGGCCTGCGGACTGAAAGGTCCCAGGTTCGATTCCGGTCAAGGGCATGTACCTGGGTTGCAGGCACAGCACATCCCCAGTAGGAGATGTGCAGGAGGCGGCTGATTGATGTTTCTCTCATCGATGTTTCTAACTATCTCTCTCCCTTCCTCTCTGTAAAAAAATCATATATATATTAGAGGCCCGGTGCACAAAAATTTGTGCACTCGGTGGGGGGGAAGGGTTGGTTCCTCAGCCTGACTTGTGCCCTCTCACAGTCTGGGACCCCTCAGGAGATAACGCCCTGCTGGCTTAGGCCTGCTTTCGGGTGGCAGAGGGCAGGCCCAATCCCTAGGTGCAGCCCCTGGTGGGGCTCAGAGCAGGGCCGATTGGGGAGTTGGGGCACCGCCCCTGTCATGCACAGAGCAGGGCAGATGGGGAGGTTGCAATGCCACCCCCAGTCACACTCAGGGTAGGGCCAATTGGGGGGTTGGGGCACCGCCACCTGTCACACTCAAGGCAGGGCCG